GGAAGCCCCAGCAGGAAGGAAAGAAAAGGAAAAAAAGCACATGGTCTTAAATCAATGACAGAATATGTAGATTTGTTTTTCAATTTTTGTTTTCACATTTACCATTTGTATACATCCAAGGTCAGAATAACCACACATTCCATTTTTATGAATTACTTTTGTTGGTTAATAGATTTTTTTCTACTGTCCCTAAAAGTTCTTGCTATAGTAGCAACAAGATTCTACTTTTCCAAATACCAAATCAGGTAGTAAACATATCATATTCACTCTTCATGTGTAATCTTACTCTATTTTAATTTATTTTTCATTTAAACGAATTACTCAACCATTGCTTTTATCTGCCATTTCTTGTGTTGAGGCTCTACCCTACTATAAATACATGAATAGATCTTCACATTACCAGGGAGGTAGTATAACCTTAAAAAAAAAAAAAAAAAAAAAGGAAACTTTACATTTCATGGACAGCTAAATGTACACAGAATTACTAAGCTTCTCCTCAAAGTATCCTACATAAACTCTAGTCTGAATTCACACACATGCAAAACAATTCCAGCATCATAAATTTATCCCACAAGCACCCAAGTCTAAAGCTCACCTGATCTCAAGCTCAAATGTACTGCCTCAACCATCCAGGTGATGGATATGGATGTACTGCTGGAGTACTTACAAGCTTCAGAGTTGACATATAGTCCCTTTATATCCCTTTTTTTTTTTTAAGTGTTAAGATAACTGGTTTATTCCTCCAATTATAAAATAAATATTCTTTATGAATAGAAATAAGCTAAAAGAAAGCCAGGCACAGTGGCTCACGCTTGTAATCTCAGCACTTTGGGAGGCTGAAGCGGGCCTTTTAGATACATATTAAAATATTGAAAAAGGTGAAGCATTAAGAATATTTAGTGGCCAGGCACAGTGGCTCATGCCTATAATTCCAACACTTTGAGAGGCTGAGGCAGGAGGATCTCTTAAGGCCAGGAGTTTGAGACCAGACTGGGCAACATGGCAAGACCCTATTTCTGCAGAAAAATTAAAAAATTAGTCAGGCATGGTGTGCCTGTAGTCTCAGCTATGTGGGAGACTGAGGCAGGGGGCTTGCTTGAACCCAGGAAGTTGAGGCTGTGGTGAGCCATGATGGTATCACTGTACTACAGGCTGAGCAACAGAGCAAGACCCTGTCTCTAAATAAATAAATAAAAAGAACCTATATTTATCAAGTATAATTCGAAGAGACACTAGAGAAAAAACAGTAGATTTCAATTCCACAGAAAAGCTCTACATGGTTCTAAATTTAGCCAATTAATAGATAATGGGAAGGTATACAATTCATTTTTAGTAGCTGCAATTTATGTTACCAGGCAGCTCATTTCTTAAATAATCTTAGAGCGTCATCCACATAAAACAAAAGAATAAATATATAAGCCACACGATTAACTGGTAAGTTAGTAAGTTAATTAAAACACCAGCTAAAACATCTGAAAATGCCTACCTTCCCCCAACAAAATAGTATTTTATACTTCCTCGATAGCAATAATATACAGATTTTTTTTTTTTTTGAGACAGGGTCTCACTCTGTCGCCCAGGCTCGATGGAGTACAGTGGTGAGATCTTGGTTCACTGCAACCTCCATCTCCGAAGCTTAAGCAATTCTGCCTCAGATTCCTAACTCCTGAGTAGCTGGGATTACAAGCATCTGCCACCACAACTACCTAATTTTTGTATTTTCAGTAGAGACTATGTTCGCCAGGCTGATCTCAAACTCCTGACCTCAAGTCAGCCACCTGCCTCAAAACCTCCCAACGTCCTGGGATTACAGGCATGACCCATGGCCTAACATGCAGAATTTTAACTGTTTCAAAGGAACATGTTACTAACACATCATCGCCTTCCCTGAAGCTTATTTATATGTTTCCACATCCAAGGAATATGCAGATACATTTAATGGGTTTCATTTTCAGTGCAAAATATTTTTGTGGACAAGACTGACATGTCTCGTTTCATGTAGAGTCCCAGAGCGATACATTCTCAAGCTGGTCAAATCATAAGTGATTTTGGTGTATCAGATCCCAATTCCAAGGCTAAATTGTATTTCAGACTTTCTAAAACATTAGAGCTCATAAAGAACCATAAAACTATGCTCCAACAGAAATGTTCAATACCCTGAACACCCTGATATGGTTAGGCTTTGTAACCCCGCCCAAATCTCACCTTGAATTGTAATACCCTGTTGACAGCAAATTCCGACGTGTGTGAGAAATCATATTGTTTGTTGAGAGTGGCAGCAAGGAAAACCTAGTCAGCCCCACAAAGTCAAAAACTGCCCCCCTAAGTAGAAAACTGCTCAAAGCATTATAAAACAGTAACCAAAAAAAAAACAGTAACCAATATGAATATGTCTCACACCAAATGAATTAGTTCTTTGAACACAGGATATGTGACTCTTTCCTTTGTTCTCTCTAAAGAGAGAACCCATAAGGCGGAGGCTGCAGTGAGCCGAAATTGTGCTACTGCACTCTAGCCTGAGCAACAGAGCGACAGAGCGAGACTCCATCTCAAAAAAAAAAAAGAAAAGAAAGCTTATTTTCACATTCATATATCACCACCAAGTTAGGGGAAAAAAGCAATACAATGCCAATCTTCTGTGCAATATCCCATTTCCCATGGCAAGTCACCATAACTACTTATAAATCACTTCATTCTGTGAAATAATTCAGGTTAAGGCTAGGCATGGTTTCTCATGCCTGTAGCCCCAACACTTTGGGATGCTGAGGTAGGAGGATCATTTGAGACCATGATCTTCTAGAAACATGAGTTCAAAACCAGCCTGGGCAATACAGTGCAACCTTCTATTTAAACAAACAAACAAACAAACAGGCTAGGTACAGTGGCTTATGCCTGTAATCCCAGAACTCTGGGAAGTCGAGGGAGGCAGATCACTTCAGGTAAGGAGTTCAAGACCAGCCTGACCAACAAAATGGTGAAACCTCGTCTCTAATAAAAATACAAAAATTAGCCAGGCGTGGTGGCGGGCACCTATAATCCCAGGTAGGAGGCTGAAGCAGGAGACACTTGAACTCAGGAGGTAGAGGCTGCAGGAAGCCAAGATGACACCACTGTACTCCAGCCTGGGTGACAGGGCAAGACTGTCTCGAAAACAAACAAACAACAACAACAACAAAAAACCCTCAAGTTAGATATTTTATTGCTCAAGCACATCTGGGAAGACACAGAAGATCTTAGATCTGTAATCCACTTTTTTTTTTTTTTTTTTTTTTTTTTGGGAAACCAAGTCTTGCTCTGTCACCTAGGCTGGAGTGTAGTGTCTAGGTCTCAGCTCACTTGCAACCTCCACCTCCCAGGGTCAAGCCATTCTCCTGCCTCAGCCTTCTGAGTAGCTGAGATTGATTACAGGTGCACGCCACCATGCCTGGATAAATATTTTTGTATCTTTAGTAGAGACAGAATTTCACCATGTTGGTCACCCGTGAATTCCTGACCTCATATGATCCACCCGTCATGGCCTCCCAGACTGCTGGGATCACAGGCGTGAGCCACTGCACCTGGCCCACTCTACATTTTTTTATTACAAATAATTGATCACATAAAAATAACAAAGAATTGGCTGGGCACAGTGGCTCATGCCTATAATCCCAGCACTTTGGGAGGCTGAGGCGGTGGATCACCTGAGGTCAGGAGTTCGAGACCAACCTGACCAACACAGAGAAACCCTGTCTCTCCTAAAAATACAAAAAATTAGCCGGTCGTGGTGGTGTATGCCTTTAGTCCCAGCTACTTGGGAGGGTGAGACAAGGGAATCGCTTGAATCCAGGAGGTGGAGGTTTCGGTGAGCCAAGACTGCACCATTGCACTCCAGCCTGGGCAACAACAGCAAAAAAAAAAATAAATAACAAAGAATAGGCCAGGCACAGTGGCTCACGCTTGTAATCCCAGCACTCTGTGATGCCAAGGAAGACTGATTAGTTGAGTTCAGGAGTTCAACTTCTTCTCTACTAAAAATACAATAATTAGCCTACCTGAGCATGGTGGTGCGCGCCTATCATCCTAGCTACTGAGGAAACTGAGGCACAAGAATCGCTTGAACCCAGGAGGCAAATTTGCAGCAAGCTGAGATCACATCACTGCACTCCAGCCTGGGCAACAGAGCGAGACTCTGTCTCAAAAAAAACACAAAGAATAGATTATGAAGAATGAGGAGGAGGCCGGGTAAGGTGTCTCACGCCTATAATCCCAGAACTTTGGGAAGCCAAGGCAGGAGATCAGCTGCAGTCAGGAGTTCAAGACCAGCCTGGCCAACATGGCAAAACCCCGTCTATACTAAAAATACAAAAATTAGCTGGGCATGATGGCAGTGCCTGTAATCCCAGCTACTTGGGAGTCTGAGGCAGGAGAATCATTTGTATACAAGAAGCGGAGACTGCAGTGAGCCAACATCGCACCACGGCACTCCAGCCTGAATAACAAAGGCGAAACTCCACCAACAAGAATGAGAAGCAATTTCTCTTTAAAGGAACCATTCCCCATTAAAGGAATCAGGATTCCTTACATAAACAATTGATTCCAAGTCTGGTGCAAGTAAAGCACAAAGTGAGCCGAGAACCCCTTGTTGTGCCAGAGTGTAAGGAAGTGCTCAAAACACGTTAGGGATATATGGCAAAAGGACAAAGCAGCCAGCCTGAACGGGCTCCCTCAAGCCCCTTCAAATCAAATTTAGGACAATTTTTGTATTTTTTTTCCTTTTTTTTTCTTTCTATCCATGGAATCACAGAACAATTTTTGTATTTCTAATAATGAATATTACTGGTACTTTTATTTAAAATTAATAGCAGTAGGTTTTAACTTGTTGAATTGTTTTAAACTATCAAATCTATAGTTATCCTCAAAAGCAAAAGTGAGGAGAGAAGCTCTTCTCTTTAGAACAATACCAGCCATAAATGCAGAAGGTACGAGAAAATATGAAAATCAACATATTCAAACCATCACTGCTGCTCACTTCCACAGCACGTATACTAAAATTAGACTAATACAGAGAAGATTTAGCAAGGCCCCTGCCCAAGGATAACATGCAAATTCATGAAGCATTCTATTTAAAAAGGAAAAAAGAAACCACTAGTATAATAACAGATTCAGACAAGGATCATCAATGGATGCTAATGTCACTGGGTAAAAGGTTACTGAGGAAAAGAGATCTGAAATCTTAAATGTATCATCCCACAGCTGTTTCTTAATTATAAAGGGGAAAGATCTAACATCACAAAGCCATGGGTGGAAAAAAAAAGTGAAAAGATTCCTTTACAATGAAGAAATTTAGCAGGTATCAATTTAACCAAGTGATCAAAGTTAGCATCACCAATAATGAGACAATGAGACATTATGTGCATACAACATCACCTGGGTAGTATTCTTCCCAAGTATATTTAACTTGAATCTAATCATGACAAATTCAAATTGTACAACATTCTTCAGAACAACTGGCCTGGACACTTCAAAAATATTAATGACATGAAAAACAAAAAAGCAGAAGAGAACTGCTCTAGGTTAAAAGAGACTACAAACATACGACGATTAAACACAACACGTGTTTCCTGAAGAAATCCAGGACAGTTGGGGGAAGTTGTAAAGCACGTTGAGATAACTGAAGAAACTTAAATATGGACTATTTATAATATATCACTGTAAAATATTTTGAATGTGATAGTGAACTTAATAATGGTATTGTGGAAAACACCATTGTTCTCAGGCAATATATGCTAAGGAAATTATGGAGGTGTCCTGATGTAATTTATTTCTTAACATGTGAATAAAACTCCTAATATACAATAACACAAAAAACTGTGTGTGCTATGTGTGTAGGGAGGGAGGACAGAGGGGAGGGAAAGAGGAGGAGCGGGGGAGGAAGGGAAAGAAAGGAAGGGAGAGAGAGAGAGCAAACATACAAACGTGGCAAATTATGAATTGGTAAATACAGGTAAAAGTCATACTGGTGTTCACTGTATCATTCCTTCACCTTTCCTATAGGTTTGAAATTCTTCCAAATAAAAAGTTGGAACCAAAAAGAACAAGAAGCAACATTAACCAAAATATTTGGCTGCCCAGTACAAACTTGCTGTGTCCTAAAAGGCAATTTGAGATGAGGGTTAAAAGCACAGACTTCAGGCCATGCACGGTGGCTCACACCTGTAAACTAGCACTGTGGGAGGTTAAGAAGGGTGGATTGTCTGAGTCCAGGAGTTCGAGACTAGCCTGGAAAACATGGCAAAACCCCATCTCTACTAAACATACAAAAAGTTAGCTAGGAGTTATGGTGCATGCCTGTAGTCCCAGCTACTCAAGAGGCTGAGGCAGGAAAATCAGTTGAATCTGAGAAGTGGAGTTTGCAGTGAGCTGAGATTGCGCCACTGCACTCCAGCCTGGGCAACAGAGTGAGACTCTGTTTCCAAAAAATAAAAATAAAATAACAAAGCCTAGGCGGGGCGCTGTGGTTCACGCCTGTAATCCCAGAACTTTGGGAAGCTGAGGTGGGTGGATTACCCACCAGGAGTTTGAGACCAGCCTGACCAACATGGTGAAACCCCATCTCTACTAAAAATACAAAATTAGGCTTGTCGCAGTGGCTCACGCCTGTAGTCCCAGCACTTTGGGAGGCTCAGAGAGGCAGATAACCTGAGGTCAGGAGTTCAAGACCAAACTGACCAACATGGTGAAACCCTGTCTCTACTAATACAAAAAGGAGCCAGGCATGACACACTCCTGCAATCTCAGCTACTTGGGAGGCTGAGGCACAAGAATTACTTGAGCCCGGAAGGTGGAGGTTGCAGTGAGCCAAGATCACGCCACTGTACTCTAGCATGGGAAACAGAGTAAAACTTCGTCTCGGGAAAAAAAATATTTATTTATTTATTTATTTATTTATTTACTTATATATGCCAGGCATGGTGGCGCACGCCTGTAATCCCAGCTACTTAGGAGGCTGAGGCAGGAGAATCACTTGAACCCAGTAGCTGGACGTTGCAGTGAGCAGAGATCCCACCATTGCACTCCAGCCTGGGCTACAAGGCAAAACTACATCTCAAAAGAAAAGACTTCCACATCAAACTGGGCTTTATATCCTGGCCAGATGATAATGGACACATAATCCAACCTAATCTCACTAAGCCTCACTGTGAAATGGGGATAATACAATACTATTCCATGAGGATTATTATTCTGAGGATTAAATGATCTAATATGTGTTACACTATGCTCCCACGATATTATCACATTATTTGTTCTTTTTGTGTGTGTGTCTTGCCAGCTTACAGGTAACTTTGTCAAAATTTTTGCAAAATATATCCAAAATCAAAGAATTATAATGCATTCCATCCATGGACCAATAAAACTAAGTCCTCCATTGGCACAAATAAGTGAGAACTAACATTCTGTAAAGAATATATCAAATGATGAAAAATAAAGCTTCCCAGCTTACGTTTGCTCCTTCCTCAAAAAAGTACTGGATTGTGAAGAATGGGCACAGGCTGCAATCTTTTCTTTTTCTTTTTTTTTTTTTGAGACAGAGTCTCACTCTGTTGCCCAGGCTGGAGTATAGTGGCGCCGTGTCAGCTCACTGCAACCTCCATTTCCTGGGTTCAAGCAAATTATCCTGCCTCAACCTCCCAAGCAGCTGGAATTACAGGCGCCCACCACCACGCCCAGCTACTTTTCTTTTCCTTTGTTGAGACAGAGTCTTGCTCTGTCGCCCAGGATGGAGTGCAATGGCACGATCTCAGCTTACTGCAACCTCCGCCTCCCAGGTTCAAGCAATTCTCCTGCCTCAGCCTCCCAAGTAGCTGGGATTACAGGCACGTGCCACCATGCCCAGTACTTTTTGTATTTTTTAGTAGAGATGAGGTTTCACCACATTGACCAGGATGGTCTTGAACTCCTGACTTCAGGTGATCTGCCCACCTTGGCCTCCCAAAGTGCTAGGATTACAGGTGTGAGTCACCACGCCCAGCCCAAAAATGTCAATCTTAACATTAAAATCCAATGTCTTCAGGCCAGGAGTGTCCCTAAAATTCTGGTATTTCCTGGGGCTCCTTGTCAGCTCTCCTAGCACTCTCTTAAGTTTGCCCTGGGTAACCTTGTTCCCTATCATAGATTAAACCTTCTTGTGGAGAGGACTTCCAAATCTAAATACCTCTGCCTCTCTCTAGCACTCCAGATCCATTTAGACAACTAGCTGCTACACATTTCCAAAAGTGAACTCTGTACCAACATTTCCTCTAAGCCCAAACCCACCCTTTTCTTATCTCAGTAAGCCACACCACCCAGTTCGCCCAAGACACAAACCTGCGAGTCATCCATCCACGATTCCTCCCCTCTTCCCAAATTTAAACAATCTTCAAATTCTGGAAATTCTGGCACCAACTCACACAGATCCATCTGCTCATCTCAGCTCTGTTCCCTCTCCTCCATTCTCATTACTCCTCCACAGAGCATTTCATTAATGGGGCAAGGCCTCCAGCTTTCTTTTGCCTTCAGCAGAGCAACTGGCAATGTTCCCAATGGTGGTTACACTGGCTGCCCTGTTGGTCTTTGTCCTTGAACAACTAAAAGTCTCTAGCCTATCTTTGATGGACGTGTAGTGCCAGTGGAAAGTAAACTAATTGTTTCAAGCTACTGAGATTTGGAGACTGTTTCTTACGCAGCATACTCTAGGCTACCCTGATTTCAATATCTCTTTTTTTTTTTAAACGGAGTCTCACTCTGTTGCCCAGGCTGGAGTACAGTGGTGCAATCTCAACTCACTGTAACCTCTGCCTCCTGGGTTCAAGTGATTCTCCTGCCTCAGCCTCCCCAGTAACTGGGATTACAGACACCCACCACCATGCCCAGCTAATTCTTTTGTGTGTAGTTTTAGTAGAGATGGGGTTTCACCATATTGGCCAGGCTGGTCTCAAACTCCTGAGAGTTTGAGGTGAGGTTTAAGAGTTGAGGTGATCTGCCCACCTCAACCTCCCAAAGTGCTGGGGTTACAGCCATGAGCCACCATGCCGAGCCTCAATATCTCTTATATAGACTACAACAGCCTCCTAACAAGTGTCACTCCCTCTACTCTAAATCCAGTATAAGTATTTCAAATTGCTGCCAGTTTCCTTTGTAAAATACAACATAATCATTTCATTTCTCTGATTAAAAATCTTCCGAGGTTCACCTTTGCCTCAAAATATTCCGAATTCCTTAATATAGCTTCTAAGCCCACCATAAAATCAGGCCCTAAATATATCCTTCTCTTCAGCCATTCAAAATACTGCTCCATAGATACCAACTATACTCTCTTTTCCTTTTTTTTTCTGAGATGGAGTCTTGCTGTCGCCCAAGCTGGAGTGCAATGGTGTGATCTCAGCTCACTGCAACCTCCGCCTCCCAGGTTCAAGAGATTCTCGTGCCTCAGCCTCCGTAGTAGCTAGGATTACAGGCAAGCACCACCAAGCCCGGCTAATTTTTGGGGGTTTTTTTTGGTATTTTTTTGAGACAGAGTCTCACTCTGTGTCGCTCAGGTTGGAGTGCAATGTTGCAATCTAGGCTCACTGCAACCTCTGCCTCCCGAGTTCAAGCAATTCTCCTGCCTCAACCTCCCGAGTAGCTGGGATTACAGGCAACTGCCACCATGCCTGACTAACTTTTGTATTTTCAGTAGAAATGGGGTTTCAGCATATTGGTCAGGCTGGTCTCAAACCCCTGATCTTGTGATCTGCCCCCCTCAGTCTCCCAAAGTGCTGGGATTACAGGCATGGGCCACCTCGCCCAGCCAATTTTTTGTATTTTTAGTAGAGATGGAGTCTTATCATATTGGCGTGGCTGGTCTCGAACTCCTGACCTCATGATCTGCCCATCTCAGCCTCCCAAAGTGCTGGGATTACAAATTACAGGCATGAGCCAATGTAACCAGCCATCTGTTTTTTCGTTTCGTTTTGTTTTTGAGACGGAGTCTCACTCTGTCGCCCATGCTGGAGTACAGCGGCACGATCTCAGCTCACTACAACCTCTGTCTCCTGGGTTCAAGCAATTCTCCTGCTTTAACCTCCCAAGTAGCTGGGACTACAGGCTCCCG